CTGGATGGATGGATGGAAAGGATTGTAGATGGAAAATCCAGTTGGGTTTAGAATCAGAAAGATACAGTTCTGAAGATTGGTCCTTTATTCTATGATGGCAAGTTCTGAAAATGTAAAATTGGATGCACACAAATGCACATGATCTCCAGTTCTATTGGTTTCCAGTTCTCAAGAATTACAAATGTCCCACCCATCCTTTTGTTTATGCAGATTCTCAGGTCCTGGATGTCCCAAAGGTGCTTTTTCAAAAGGCAGATGGGTTTTGTTTTTCCTTGAAGACATTTCGCTTCTTATCCTGGAAGCTTCTTCAAAACCGAAGAAGCTTCTTGGATGAGAAGCGAAACGTCTTCAAGAAAGAAAAGAAAGAAAGTCCATTGCTTTTTGAAAAAGCACCTTTGGGACACCCATCCTTTCTTTCCAATAAGAACATGTCCTCAAGGTGACTCTATAACCCCATAAACTAATATAACTAATATTATCCAGGTAATGTGTTCAAGCCACTTCCTGTTTTCATTCCAGTAACTGCACGCTGTCCTTTTCAATTTTGAATGCTGAAGGATTGACATGCCTTTAGGGAGGATCTTGACGGTTTTCTCTGAATATGTCATTTTAAACCGATTGACGCCTTCACCGGTTGGGCCTCTTCTCATTTCCATGGCTGTTGTTTCATTGATGAAAATGGGATGTAAAATTCCCCTAACCTAACCTAACCTCTTCTAGAGCAGGGGTAGGGAACCTTGGTTCTTTTATGACTCGTGGACTTCAACTCCCAGAATTCCTGAGCCAGCCAAGCTGGCTCAGGAATTCTGGGAATTGAAGTCCACGAGTCATAAAAGAGCCAAGGTTGCCTACCCCTACTCTAGAGGCTTCAAGGGACTGCATCGCCCTAAGACTGAGAATTCGTAACTCAAGACTGCCATGTTGGGGACAGCAGAAGGAGAACATTCTGCTAGTTTTCCACTTCAGTACATCAGTTGGCAAAGTTTAAAAAAAAACACCTGGATGCATTTGAGAGCCAAAGGTTTTTTCCTGTGGCAACAGCTAAATTATAAAGCACTTTGCAGGGGGAGGTTAAACTGACCCTCCTTTTCTTAGAAAGGATGGTCTTCTCCTCCTCCTCTCCCAGTTTTTGTTTTTGTTTTAATCTGGCAGAAAAAGTCCACACACTGCATTAGTTTCCCCATCAGGGTCTACTTCCTAATTCCGTCACGTTTTTTCTTCCAGTGTCCAGGAAGACAGGACAGGTACCTATGAGAATGCATAAAGAGCAACAAGCCAAGAATTAACACTTTTTTTTTTTTAGGACAGGAACGAGGGATACCGGTTAACGTACTCTACGTTGCCACAACCCTCCTCCAGAACCCCCGGGTTAGGAGTCGGGGAGTGACGACGTCCGTTGAGGAGGGAGGAGGGAGAGGCGACACGACGGGGAGGGACCGCCCACCTTCTCTGTTTCAGGAGTCAGGCTACCTTCGGAAACCCTTCGGCTCTCTTCTGTCAGGTAGGTGGAAAGCAGCGGGGTCTAGCAAGTGGCCAGAGGAGGCATGGAGGGGTGTCTGTGGCTGGGGATGCCATCTGTGTCGTGATCCAACAAAAGGGCTCTGAGTGAGTTTCCAAATTCACAGGTGGGCTGTCCGGAGAGAAAAGCCATGTGGGTTTGGAAAGAGGAAGAGGGAGGGCTGCTTCTCTGAAGAGATCCAAGAGATGAGAGGGGATGTGGATGTGAGTGTGTTGTGCATAATCACAGGTCCTTAAGTGCACATGCTGCACACTCGGTGAGAAAGAAAAGAAAAAAGAAAAGAAGAAGAAGAAGAAGAAGAAGAAGAAGAAGAAGAAGAAGAAGAAGAAGAAGAAGAAGAAGAAGAAGAAGAAGAAGAAGAAGAAGAAGAAAAGGGAAGGGAAGGAAGGAAGGAAGGAAGGAAGGAAGGAAGGAAGGAAGGAAGGAAGGAAGGAAGGAAGGAAGGAAGGAAGATTGTGAATTGAGGGAGGGGGAAATTAGATGGTCAGCAGCCAGAGGAAAGTGGAGAGTAAAGCAAAAAATCTTTTCAAGTTGCTTGTTAAATGGGGCAAAGCAGATTAGAGGAATTGCACCTTCACCAGCCCTGGCAGACCAGGGTGGGACGTGGTTTCTTTGGGTCCCTCTGGGAAGGATAAGTTCTTCAAAGGACCCCTCCCTGCCCTAAACAGAATTGCCGCTGGTCTCCTCTCCCCTCCCCTCCCTTCTCTTCCCGCCCCACCCCAGTCTGCTTCCAAGGAAAAGTAGAACTGGAGCAAAACTGCTCTTGGGGATCCTTCAGAACTTGCTCTTTGGGGGACATTCGGACAGGTAAGTAGGAGCCCCCCCCTTCTTCAAAGATAGGAGAGCATCACCTTCCTACCTTCCTTGTCATTGCCAGCCTTCCTAAAAAAAACACGGGAGGGGCACTTCGGAAACCAGAGAGAAGGGAACAAGGGGACAGGGAGTCTTGTTGAAATGTAAGGGGAACAATCGTTCTTGTTGTTTTTTTAAAAAGCTATTTTCTACATTTTTTAAAAAAGCAAAATAGATCATTTCTGCCTGCTTGTTGGGTTAAATCAAAAAGAGGCATGCTGTAGATCTCTCTCTCCTTTTTTTTTTTTTTCTTTTTGGTAGTTTTAAGCCTCAAAGTGATTGCAAAATTTATGGACTTGGAAAAACCAGAAGGATGGTGACAGGGTTTAAAGACTGGTATCGGTTTGAGAGATGCGGACGGGTTCCGTGTCCCTGAAAGGGATCCAGACCGACATCCCCAAGCATCTTTAAGACAGCAGCCTCTCCAGCAAACCGTAATACAAGAGCACAGATGGGCTGTTTGGGCGCAGCTGATGAATGAGGTATTCCATTACTAAAGTGACAGTTTTAATGCAAGTCTCCTCCTTGTCCTTGCAGAAAATTTAGGACGTGGACCCTGCATATTTTACAAAGAATTGGCTCTCAGAGAGGGAAGCAATGGCACTGAATTTAAATCTGTTCTAACTCTGATGCCTACAACGGAATGATAGAATTCCTGTCTTTGTAAACTTCATTCTGGGTTCTTCTCCTCTCCCCTTTCTCCCTTCTTTTCCTTTTTTTCTTTTCCTTTCTTTTTCCCTTTTCCCTCTTTCTTTTTTCCTTCCCTTCCCTTTCCTCCTGCCCTTCCCCTTCCCCCCACAAAGAAGGGTATATAGCCGTTCCTCTCCCATGCCCTTCCCCTCCACAATAAAATCCCTATAAAACAGGGATATCCATGGTGGGGAGGGACAGATCACAGAATAATCAAAAGATGCCACCTGCAGGATTCAACCCCACCTTTTCCTACATGCCCCTGAAAGGGATGGGCTTGTAATGCACCCCCACCCTCCCTAGGCATTCTTGTTGTAAGTTAGCCATCCATCTACCAAAAGTCAGACAAAAGAGAGGGCTCTCTCTGTCTCACCCCACAGAATTCTCTCAGCTATTATGACTTCACTTTCTGGGTTGATTTTCCTTCTGGGTGACTGAGCCAAGCCAAGCCCTGGACTGTAAACACTCTTTTCAGGGTTTTTTTTTTTTTTGTTTTAAGATTGCTTATGGAGTAGCGCATATACTCATTTTCAGGTAAAAGAATCTATAAAAGAAATACAAGCACAGTTGAACTTGAAAGAAGCATCCATAGCATATCGGTGCCCACGGCTTCACTTTGCCTGCTTCTGCGTAGGATAATAACTCTGAGTGGAACATACAAAGGGTGTGCTAGTCACAGAGAAGGCACAAACTGAGTGCCGTCGTCTTGAAATCATGTGGCACTCAAGCTCCATCATACGTGCTAAAAGCAATGGGTTCACTAGAGCAGGGGTCTCCAACCTTGGCAACTTTAAGCCTTGTGGACTTCAACTCCCAAAGTGCCTGAAGGCAAGACAAGAAGCAAGGGATGGAAACTAATCAAGGAGAGAAGCAACCTTCTTGATTCCTCTTTGAAGGACTGTCACTCTTGTTAATTGGTCACCTTGTTGGACGGAGGTCTTCGCCACTTACGAGGTTGTGACCTTCAAAAATTCTTCTCTGACCTGTCGGTAAACAGGCTTTACCATATCCCAAAGGACGGACTCGTCCCCGTTGGACTAGATGACCTCCAAGGTCCCTTCCAACTTTACTACTACATCATCATCATCATCATCATCATTATTATTATTATTATTATTATTATTATTATTATTATTATTATTATTATTATTATTATTATTATTATTATTATTATTAAACTATAACTCACAGTCTCCTGATGATTGGCCCAAAGTCCACCCAGCCAGCTTTCATGCCTAAGGTGGGACTAGACTAGAACTCACAGTCTCCTGGTGATTAGCACAAAGTCTCCAAGCCCACTTTCATGCCTAAGGTGGGACTAGAACTCACAGTCTCCTGGTTTCTAGGCAAGTACCTTAACCACTAAACTGCTGGCCTGCTATCTCCACTGCAATGAATTCCTTAGATAAAGTAGAATAAGTAAAAGTTAGTAGGGATGAGTTTCAAAACATCTGGCTAGGAGGAAGATTTAATCAAACCTCATATACTTGTCAAATAATTCGTTAGGAAGGTTGTCCCTTATTTTTGCCATTTTCGTGGTGGCTAGTGATAAGATAGAAGTTTTGGGTCAAATACACACAAAAAAACCAGTTTATGGAACAAAAGAGCAATCTTCCTTGATTTCCTCCTGGAACTGAAGTTGATATACATTTGGTTTTTTTTCCCCCCAGATAAAATAAACCAGCTTAGCTGGGTTGCAGAAAAAAAAGGAATCCTTTTTTTCCCCTTCCAGAATTGGAAGCGGTGGTGAACTCACCAAAACAGTGAGCAGCACCTGGATGGAGGCTGGAAAAGTGTGTTTTCCTAAGAAATATCACAGACAGCCTCAGCAACAGCACCTGGAGGAAAAACAAAGGACGAAGCCACTTGCCATCTCTCTACACTGCCTTCTCTTCTGTCTGCTTCTACCATCTTCATCATCCTGCCTCAATCCTGCCCCCACGCCCACTGATGCCAGTGGAGAAGTCATTGTAAGTCAAACCTGAAGGTGGTAAAACTCGGGGACTGAAAACTGGGGAGTTGTAACATCTAAGACAGAGTTCCCCAACCTTCGCAACTTTAAGACGTGTGAACCTCAAGTCCCAGTATTCCCCAGCCAGCTATGGGAGTTGAAGTCCACACATCGTAAAGTTGCCAAGGTTGAGAAAACCTAAGACCATGGGTATCCCAAAGGTGCTTTTTCACAAGGCAACTGGACTTGCTTGTTTTTCTTTGAGGATGTTTCGCTTCTCTTCCAAGCTTCTTCAGCTCTGGAGAAGCTGAAGAAGCTTCTTGGATGAGAAGCAAAACGTCTTGCAAGAAAAACAAGCAAGTCCAGTTGCCTCATGAAAAAACACCTTTGGGGCAACCATGACCTGGATGACTGAGAATCTCCATAGACACTAAGAAGATGGGTGCGTCTACAACAGGGGTTCTCAACCTTGGCAACTTTAAGACTTGTGGACTTCAATTCCCAGAATTCCTCAGCCAGCAATGAGGAATTCTGGGAGTTGAAGTCCACAAGTCTTAAAGTTGCCAAGGTTGAGAATCCCTGGTCTACAAAATGGCGAAAGCCAAGCCAATTCTGTGCTGCAGATCTTCTCTGGGTGATTGAGGACATTGATTAGATTAGTCTTTCTCAACTTCAGCAACTTTAAATGTGGACTTCAACTGCTCAAAATTCCCTAACCAGCAGTTAGGGAACTGTCTGGGGAACTCTGGAAGTTGAAGTCCACCTCTCTTAAAATTGCTGAGATTGAACACCCTTGAGTTGGAGAGTTGGCTTTCGTGAAAGGTAGTGAGATATTTTTTCTTCCCTGAGAGCACCTTAAAAACAAATTAAAAGCCCAGTTGTTTGATAAATTAAAAACCCACCATTTCATAAATGAAATCTAAACTCTTTTAAGAAATGAAACACCAGCAATTTGGTATAGAAAAGCATTCCAAAAATCTGGCTGCATCTTTCAGGGCTTGGGCAAAATGCAGAATCCGCAATTTTGTAGCTAGGTATTTGAGAATTGGCCCTGTGGTTTTTCTTCTGCGTGGGCAAAAAAGCAGTATAAGCAAATTAGAGAGGCCCAGTTTAAGAAATTTAGAATTCCCAGGAGGAAAGGCAGGATTACAGAATCTCATGTTATCTACTGATCATCTTTGTTTAGGAGTGGTTAATACATTATGGATACCTTCCACCTGCTGATCCTACTACAGGCCAACTACAGACGTGGGAAGATGTGACTACAGCCCTTCGTACGATGCAGCGTTTTGCTGGCATTGCAGAAACTGGGATTCTAGGTATAACAAAACTGAGAGATATTAGTACCTTGCTTGTTCTCCTTGGGGACCCATGGTTTTGCAGTGGATATCTCTCTCAACCCAGAAATGTGAGGTCAGTCCAGTCCCCTGAATGAACTCCAGTGAAAGATGTTATTGTAGCATCCCTGAGAGATTCAGGCACTAATTGAATATCTTCAGTAATTAAATGCGCCTCCCAGAAATAGTCAAATCATATTAATTCTCAGAGGGATGAGCTACCTAGAACTTGTGGTAGCTAGAAAAATGAAAATGGAGAGAGTGGAAGGTCTGGATTTACATTTCTTTTTAATGTTCCCTATGTCAATCGGGCGAGGAAGAAAAATAATGAAGTAGGGAAGACCGTTCTTTTTGTGCATTCTTCTGTTGCTCAGTTTTGTTTATTGAAATAAAGATGATTGGAAAGACAGCTTTCTGGATTAATTGCCTGCTGGAAAGAGGTAGCTGCTAAATTAACACAGGGGAGAATTTCTCTGCTCCTAGGCAAAATTGCAAAGGTTTTCCACAGTGGATTCTAAGATGAAAATAAAAAATGAGGGAAACTATCAGGAAAATTTTATCCACATCGCTCTGTTAGGAAATACATATCTTTGCTATCTGTCACTACAGATAGTGGGGGGGAGGAATATTAATATCTCTGTTAGAATTAGGGTTCATTTTTCATATACTGTTTAGTTTTCAGAATTTGTTTATTAAATTTATATGTCGCTGACTCTGCAGCATCAGTGCATTTCAGGACAAAGGACTCTTCAGTGCCATTAGAAAGTTAGGGTTAAGCCTGTCTGCTAATATAACTGGCCCCAAAATTACCTGCTTCTAAGAAATTGAGGCAAGGCAATTGGAAAGACACAGGGCAAGGACCGAAATTTGGCCATGCATAGAAATGTTCTTTGAACACCATAAAAAAGCAAAATGGACTCAGCAAAATAAAGAGGTGGAAAATTGGTATGTCCTAGGACAGGGGTAGGCAACCTTGGCTCTTTTATGACTCGTGGACTTCAACTCCCAGAATTCCTGAGCCAGCCATGCTGAGGGGAAAGGGAGAGGTTTCCAAGCTGAGCCATGCTGGCTCAGGAATTCTGGGAGTTGAAGTCCATGAGTCATAAAAGAGCCAAGGTTGCCTACCCCTGTCCTAGGAAAATGTTCCACTTCCTTGCAGAATTGAAGTCGAACTAGTTGACTTTTTCACTGTGAAACATTTCTGGGTGTTTGAATTCTTGCAGATGATGCCACGCTGAGTCTGATCCGGATGCCTCGCTGTGCCTTGCCTGATATTATCCCCCACATCCCCCCAAAGCTTTCTTTGATGTCAAGGGCAAGGAAGAAGAGATGGCAGAGGAGAAAAAGTCGAAAGAGGCGCAGCGTTGATTCAGTTTGGACTAAAAGAAACATCTCCTGGAAGTAGGTATCCACATGTGGGCTTAAGGCAATGTTTCTCAACCGTGGCAACTTTAAGAGGGGTAGACTTCCAATTCCCAGTCTTCCCCAGCCACCCATCTTAAAATTGCTGAGGCTGAGAAACATCAGTTGGGTGAGAAAATAGACTGAAAAAAGAATTGTATCCTGTACAAAGATTCAGTGACAGGGTTCGGACAATTAGGCTAACATGGACATGGGTAGCTGGTGGTTTATTGTGGTTAGATGAATCCAGCAATGGAGTCCGCCTGCTAAGTGAACCTGGGCATCGTGTTAAGCCATTATATAAGTCTATTTGTTTGGGGTATGGTGTGTTATGTGAAGCCAGGAATTCTGTTTCATTAAACCTAGTTTAGGATTAGTGCAAATCCATCTTACTTTTCCCGTAGGGTGAAGAGCTACCCCCAAAGAGCCCGTCTCAGCCGAGAGACGATGAGAGTATTGATCTATTATGCCCTAAAGGTTTGGAGTGAAGCTATACCATTAACCTTCCATGAGGTTGGCGGCCACAATGCTGACATCTCTGTGGAGTTCCTCCATTTGGATCACCATGACAACTATCCGTTTGATGGACCTGGTGGGATGGTGGCCCATGCTTTCTTTCCCGGAGACCCTCTGAGGGCTGGCACTGTCCATTTTGATGGGGACGAAGAATGGACTTTCCGCTCACCAGGTAATTTGACTTTCTCTCATAGTGGAAGAGTTAAGAACTGTAAACCTGTTCAGGTGTTTGCCTGACTGCATGGAAGGCTCACATTGGATGGAGAATCCATGCGTAGAATCCTGCTCTTGTCTTTTCCTGTCACCCCACTTTTATCTAAAAGTCTGAAGGTCAACTGTACTTGCCTTGCCTTGAATGTGAGTAGACCCTCTGAGTGACTTTAAGGCTGCATGTACTTTTCTCCCCCATGCTGACCTCTCTATGGGTTCAAGTGAGTGTCCAAAAGGAGCTACAATGACCCTGAGGAGGCGGCTGAACTTGTGACATGGAGGTAGGGTAACCATCAAACAAAAAAGCACAGTAAAGTCAACATATACATTCCCTAATGCATTTTCTGATGTAGTTCTCTTATCACAGGGATTTTTCATTGTTCTCTCAAACTTCCAAAGTAGGGCCCCTAATTTCTACCTCAACCAAAAAAGATTATTTTCTTTGACCATCATCATGTCTTTATTCCCACCATTTCATCTTTTTTTTTTGATGGTGCTCTCAGACTTCCACCATAACCCAAGAAATAATTTATCTTTCTAATTTCGTGTGGGGAAGATTTGGTGGAAACCAATGTTGAAAAACAAAAAGTAAAAATATGGATTTTACAAGGCCATGGTTTTCCCAGTTGCAATGTATGGCTGTGAAAGTTGGACCATAAGAAAGACTGAGCGCAAAAGAATTGGGCCTTTGAACTATGGTGCTGGAGAAGACTCCTGCGAGTCCCCTGGACTGCTAGGCGATCAAACCGGCCAGTCCTATAGGAGATCAACCCTGACTGCTCTTTAGAAGGCCAGATCCTGAAGTGGAAACTCAAGTATTTTGGCCACCTAATGAGAAGGAAGGACTCACTGGAGAAGAGCCTGATGCTGGGAAAGATTGAGGGCAAGAGAAGAAGGGGATGATAGAGAACGAGGTGGCTGGATGGAGTCACTGAAGCAGTAGGCGTGAGCTTAAATGGACTCCAGAAGATGGTAGAGGACAGGAAGGCCTGAAGGAACGTTGTCCACGGGGTCGCGGTGGGTTGGACACAACTTTGCAACTAACAACAACATATAAATAAAACTATTTTGCTAGTCTGGCCAATTTGACTTTTCCTCTATCCACTAAGCAGGCTGAGATGTTGCCCTGTATCCAAAGATTCACCCTCTGATGCAACCCAGGCCCATCATCTGTTGGACAGGATGGTGTTTTTGCTGTCCTTTTGATCCTGTGCTGTGTTATTTGTGATGCCTTCTCTCATTTTGTAGACTCAGTCTGGATCACTCAATCAGTGATTTTCATTGTTTGACAGATGACTTTGGCACCGACCTTTTTGCTGTGGCCATTCATGAATTTGGCCACAGCCTTGGCTTAGCACATTCATCTTCCAAGCACTCTATCATGCACCCATATTACCGGGGACCTGTAGGAGACCCATTGCAATACCAGTTGCACATGGAGGATCATGCTGAAATCCAGAAGCTTTACGGTAAGTGCAACAACCTGGGATCTTAATTAAACATTGCTGGGAGGCAGTCAACCTATTCCCCAAAGCACTTGAAGGCAGAACAAGAAGCAATAGATGGAAACTATTCAAGGAGAGAATTAGTCTAGAAGTAAGGAGAAATTTCCTAACAATTAGAACAATTAATCAGTGGAACGGCTTGCCTCCAGAAGTTGTGGGTGCTCCAACACTAGAAGTTTTTAAGAAGAGATTGGACAACCATTTGTCTGAAATGGTGGATGGTTTCCTGCCTAAGCAGGGGGTAGGACTAGAAGACCTCCAAGGTCCCTTCCAACTCTGTTGTTCTGTCTTCTGAGTTAAGACCTTGCCTGAGTCCTGTGGATCAGCCCAACTTTCTCAACTTTGTCTAATAGATCCAGTGCACTACAACTCCTACTAATATCCACCACCAACAGGCTTGACATCTAAGGGCTCTGTTAAAGACCAGGTTGGGGAAAGCAGATCTACTGCAATTTAAAAAAAAACTTTTTAAAAATCTTGGGACAATATCTAACTCTGAAGGTATTGGTTTTGCGTGTCCAACCCATTCTTTAATCTGCAGATCTGAAATAGTGAATAAGAACTGTGTGATTTCCCCCCCCTACTTTTCATTTAAATTCATTATTTTAATATCCTTGATTCATATAATAATTATGTAGTAATATGATAAATAATATTCATATTCATTATGAGGATTGTTTGTAAAGTCAATCAACCAAGCCTCCCATATTTTCTGTAGAATCACCTTCAAACAAACAGTGGCTCATCACTATAAGTAAACGTGCCACTATCAGTTCTGAAATAGTTCCAGCCCAACTTTTAGTGATGGACAGTGTGTTTGTGTGTGTATGTATGGGTGTGGGTGTATGTCTGTATTTGACCAAGCAGGTTGATGCAGTTCAATAGCTTTCAGTCTAATTTGTATTGGCCTTCTTTTCAACATTTGTCTGGACTGTCTATTCCCATTTTCTGAAATGTATGCCACCAAAATTCTTCTTTTCCCTTAACATGTTTCCTTGTTTTTTCTCTCCTTTTCAAACCAGGGAGTAAAGTTTTTCAATCCCCAGAGAAGCATGATGTAACCACCCCATTGCCAGGCCTTCTCTCCTTATCACAGAATTTCCCTGCAGTCAGGTTAGATGACACTCTTTATACTTATATATAGATAAAACTTTTGCTGTTATTATTAATATGGTGAATAATTTCAGTCTTTGTCTAATAATGAAGTTTATATTTAAGCAAATGCCACTTCCTAAAGTCAGGGTAGCATATTATGTTAAAGTAACTGTAACTGGAGAAAACAAGCTATAATCCCAGTTTAGCCATGAAGCTCACAAAGGCACTTATAAAAGCTGGACATATGACCATGTTTTGATCTTGATATTTCAGCTTATGATATAAGTAAGGTATTCTGGCTACTGAAGGAGAATTTTGTTTTTCCATCCGTGATGGAAAACCAGGAAATACAGCACTAAACATATTTTCCCATATTATTTAAAAATGGGGTGAAAACCCAGCCAATGATCCCAGAACTAGCCTGGCTATTAAATCATGGTCTGATGCTGGTTGAACCTGAAGCATTTCCACTTTGAACAAAAGAGGGAACTAATCAAATTCAGGTGAGATGACTTCTGCCCCTCAGTTTGATTCAGTGTCAGGGTAAGGATAACATACATAGGAATATCATATCCATTTATCTTGCCCTGACTTTCCTAGAAGGAAATTCGACGGATATGCTCAAAATCTACTTCATAATAGAACAATACACATTGCTGCATGGGGGTAAAATGTACTTTCACGCTGCTGGCAGATCCTTTTCCATCTCTAATGAAACCAACACAGAGTTTAGGGATTCCACTGGCTGAGTTGTTTTTTTTTCCCTCCAATTTCCTTGTTCCAGACCAGGAAAAGGATTTCCTGACCGATGTACCTCCAACATCGATGCTGTTGCTCAGATCCGAGGAGAAACATTCTTTTTCAAAGGTTAGTTACCTTGCAGACAAAGCAACTTCTTCTTCTCAGGGTGCACAAAAAGAGGCTGGAGTGTTATTATTGGATGGGGTATTGGGCACATGGTCAAGAGATCCAGATTCAGGGTCAGCCCCCTCACCTTTTTTAATAGAGTAGAAATTCCAATATTAAGAGCCAAAGCAAAACCCCTCTCTCCATACCATACATATTTTTTATAAACTTCAATCTTCTCTTCCTTTACTTGCCTTTTTTAAAAGAAGCCCCAAACATTCCATTTTCTAATTCTCTTCATTGTCTTCTTTCAATTCTTCATTACCCTTTTTGAATGCTCATATTGATAGGCTCATATTCATCCATGTCTACACACACACACACACCAAAATACCTGCCAAGAAAGAGGATCACCTTTTAGATGGAAATTAATCTCTCTTTCTTTTTTCTATTCCTGCTCTTGTGGCAGATCAGTACTTCTGGCGCCTATCCCAAAGCCGGCATCTCTCTTCTCCACAACCAGCTCTGATCACTCGTTTCTGGCGAGGACTTCCTTCTACTCTCCGCAAAGTGGACGCTGTTTATGAGAGACCTGCAGATCATCGCATCCTCTTCTTCAGTGGTGAGAAGATCAGAAGTGCAAAGTGAGCTGGGCAAAGGCAGAAGGATATTCTGTTCCAATAAAACATGACGTGCTTTTAAGCCATTGGCCGTGGCAGATTTAAAGAACGCAGGACCAAGTACAGAAGAAGCAGAATTATTTAATTACTTTGATTTCAAAGCACAAAATATACACTCGTCCTCTACATAATCAACTGCAGGACCAGACAGAAACCTGCGGAATAAGAAGTGTGTTAGAAATTTTGTTTATACATAGCGCCACAGATCAAACAAAGTGTACAGTCACCATGTGCTTTACTGCTTAACTGTTTTTAACTGTAACAGGAAACAGGAAACTCTACTTACGACAAAAGAACATAGCGTATATACCATAGATCCAAACTTATAAACATTGCCATCTACTGCCTGAATACTACTGTAGTTGTTACACAAAATTACATTCCAACAATGAATTCCAACAAAGTGATTTGCTGTTTCATCTCATATACAGGTAGTCCTTGACTTACCATTGGTGGCTTACTGTCCTTTTAAAATTAGGATAGACCCCGCCCAAAAGGTAGTTATGATCCAGCTGTTTGCAGTGTCCTGTAATCATGTGTTCATGATTTACAATATTTTTTCCCAGAAACTGGCATTTTCTTTTGATTTCAGGCAAAAAATACTCTATAGCGAACAATGGACTTGCTTTATGACTGCTGCATTCGCTTAACAACTGCCATGGAAAAAGTCATAAAATTGGGCACAATCACCCGCTTAAGGACTATCATGACTTACAACTGTAATTATGGTTGTAAGTCGAGGACAACCTCGACATGCTTTTTCTAAAGCCTGGTCAACCGGCACCACTGAAAAGCCCACCAACAAGGGGCTCCAATGCTGCCTCCCCTTTCAAATCCTTCTAAAAATGAAAATCTTTGCGTCAGTGAGAGGTGACACCATCAGTCAATGTGGACTAGGGGCACCATATACCTTTGAACTGGCACTGCCCATTAGCAAATTTCCAGGACCATATTCCAATTCATCATCTCAGTTGCAACTATTTGCTGCTTGAAGCCAAAAGATTTAACCGCTCCCTCAACCCCTCCAGATGCTGCCTATGTGTCCCATCTCTTTTGAAACAAATGAGCATATTTTCATCCTTCAATCTTCCTCAAATTGTGTGTTCTTCAAAAATAGGACTTCAGCCCACAGGGTAAGGCAGGGTCTTCTGAAAAGTGACGGCCGTACTGCCAAAAAGCCTCTAGCTTGAGAAAAATTCTAAAGGTGAAGATGCTAGGCCAGTGGTGGCGAACCTATGGCATGGGTGCCAGAGGTGGCACTTGGAGCCCTCTCTGTGGGCACATGTGCCGTTGCCCCAGCCTTGCCTTCCCCTGCAGCCCCCTCCTCACCAGCATCCCCCTGGAGGAGAGTCGCCCCCGAACGTGGCCCATGCAGAGCAGTGCAGCCAAGGACATGGCAGTCAGACAAGACTCTGCCCTCACGCCCCATCGCGCACAGGCGCGGGCAGAGGGCGTGGCCACCATGGCGCTGCTGGGCGATCTGTGGCGGGCCCTGGAGGTGGTGAGTGGCCCTGCAGGCAGGTGGGACGGGGCCAGTTTTGGGGCACTCGGTCTCTAAAAGGTTCGCCAGCACTGTGCTAGGCTGACAATTGCTTTGTAACCTGCCTGTTATCTCCCACTCATTTTTGTTAATTAAAATAAATCAGGCAAGGCCAGGAGCCTGGTAGCATTAAGGGAGATGATTTCAAGTTTCCATTCCATGGGGCAGGTAATTCTGAATGAATGGTTTCAATAACAAGCTATTGCTGTTGCTCATACCCTTCTCTCTCTCTCTCTCCATTCTTTAGGACCTCTCTACTGGGTATTTAAAGACAATGGTGTGGAGGAGGGCTACCCTCGCCCAATCACAGACTTTGGCCTGCCCCAAGGGGGCATCAGCGGTGCTTTCTCCTGGCCTTCAGACCAGAAAACCTATTTCTTCAAGGGAGACCTTTACTGGTGCTATGATGAGATGACACAGCACCTAGAGGACACCTCCCCTCTCCTCCGGGAATCCTGGGAGCAGTTCTCCTCCTCTGTTGACTCTATCTTGAGTGAAAGTGATGGTGAGTTGGCTGTCGTCCATGGGTTGACTCAGATGATTCCCTGCATTCCTGTTGATCTGGGTGCTTGGGAATCGTGAAATGCCATGGGGTCTCCAGTCTATCCTACCCTTTCAAGAACAATCAGGTCCTTTCAGCTTTTAAATGTCTATGTAGGTTCTCAATCATCCAAGTCACGATTGTCCCAGACTGGGTGCTTTTTCCAAAAGGCAGATGGACTTTCTTGGTTTTTTTCCCTTTGAAAATGTTTCGCTTCTCATCCAAGGAGCTTCTTGAGAACTGAAGAAGCCTCTTGGATGAGAAGCAAAATGTTTTCAAAGGTGGGGGGACACAAGAAAATCCAGTTGCCTTTTGGAAAAAGCACCTTTGGGACAAGCAGGTCCTATGCACAGCTGTAAGAAAAGAAGAATTCATACCGTGTGAAATAAAAGGGTCTGGTGTGCATATGTGGGTCCCGTGATCAAAATTCAGACACTAGTCAACTGACTCACATTCATGGCAGTTGTAGTGTCCCGGGGTCATGGGATCTTTTGCAACCTTTCTCAATGAGGAAGCCAGATTCATGTAAGAACTGTGTCACTAATTTAACAACTGCGGTGATTCCCCTAATAACTGTGGCAAGAAAGGCTGTAAAATGGGGCAGAATTTACTGAACCGCTGTCTCACATAGCAACAAATGTTAGGCTCGATTGTGGCTGTACGTTGAGGGCTATCTATATTGCTTCTGCTTCCTCTTCCAAACCATTCTGTACTGTATATTATTCCAGGGACTTTTCTCAAGTCTTCTGCAACTCTGCGTCAATCTATTGCTGCTGTCACTTCTCTGTCCTGCTGCAGGAACACTGTATGTTTTTAAGGGCCAACAGTACTGGAAGTTTGGCCAGGACACCCTTCAACTCCAAGATGGATACCCTCGTTCCATTGCCACCGACTGGCTGGATTGCACCACTGAGCCTCTCAGGATAATGCCTACTAGCCCTTCGTTGGGCGTTAGACTTCCACCCAACTTCCGAGGACCTCAGCTGGAGGTTGAGGGACGTGTGTGTTTTTGTGCTGCTTTTTCTGCCATTTCTTCCACCTTGCTCAATATTTTGCCCTTGGCTGTCTTGACCCTGCAAGGACTTGCCTAGGG